AAAAAATCACACTTTTTGATTCTCCCTTCCAAAAATTCGTACATTAATACAGAGTTTTTAGAAGTGATAACATTTGATAACATTTGTTTCACCTTACGTATCAATAATTAAATTCGACCATCACTTGCCCATAATTTTAAAAAGTCACTAAAATCAAAATTTCTTGACTATCGGGAAACAATTTAGGTTTCTGATAAGCTATCACGAAATGCCACGAGCCTCACTATGATACTATATAATAGTTCAATGAAGAAGTTCTAGAAATGCAATCGATATACCTACATTCCGGTACCTTACGCAATATCGCTTAGTGCAATACCGCCTGTGATTTATGAGATTCCGATAACAAGCTACTTCACTGTTAACACAAAAAAGTGATGGTAATTTCAGAAATTTTTCAAAAAAAAAAGTAGTGAAATGATAAATAAAATTGAAAAAAAATATTGCAGATGGAAGTTGCGGAAGAGAAATATTGAATGAATTTAAGTAATTCCTAAAATAATGACATAACAAAAATTCACAATGCTCCAGCAACCAGTATCCAGGGAATTACGTTCATTTCAATCACTTTCCCGTTTTTCTGGACCCCGTGGATTGCTAAACAGGCGTCAATCAAATTCTAGGCGCTATCTGCAATCACGGCGCAGAACTACCGAAGCTTGCGTGGATGATTCACAGGTATCTTTTATCCAACAATAACTAATTTTTTTTTTTAATCATAGAATTGTAAAATAATAAGCATGAAAGTAAACATTAAATGAAACAATAATTTAACTGATAAGATAATTCCAAATCCTGATAATAATTAATATAATGATATTAAATTTCTAAATATAAGTCTAGTTGGTTATACATAATTGTTCACATTTTTAGCATAAATTTCCGGAAGCTTTCTGAGAGATTAGCAAATTGCGATAATATAAAAGACTTTAAGAAAAATGTCATAAATCAGCCATATATGTCATTTAAAAGTCTATAGCAACAAAAATTACTTCAGTATAGTTGCAATATCAGTGGAATAATACTTTCGATTAATTGATTTCAGCTTTTATCAGCAACGGGGCCTGGCCCATCCACAGAAGGTCGAAGCTTCTTGCCGCATAGGAAGAAAACTTTCTCGTTATCTATGGAAGTAAATCCATTACGACCATGGCATGATAGTATTCTGGAAGAAGTTGATTATCAGAAACAAACCCAAGTTGGTTGGGATAATGAGGCGGATATTATCAACGAAGAATGCGATTTACCCTATCCAGGGTAATCTCCTAATTAAATGACTGATTGCTTTTTTTTGGATGGGAAAAAAAAATTATTACAAATCAATCAATCAATCAATATATTCAACAAACAGTTCACGTTATTATTTATTATTTAATCACAATTAATAATAAAATGACAATATTATTGCTGTAAAATTTTAATATATTATAAAATAAAGTAAAAAAAAAATAGAAACATTATAGATGTGAAATATAATCAATATTAAGATTTACGGAACCAGCCTTACATTGTTTACGGCAAGCAGTACCACCACGTTCATGGGCCTTACGAATGGTTATGAATCCGTGGTTTGATCGTATAACAATGATTGTTATTTTGATTAATTGTGTAACACTTGGAATGTATCGGCCATGTGAGGATAATGATAATTGTACAACATATCGTTGCTATGTTCTCTCAACCATTGATCATATCATTTTTGCATATTTTGCTTTAGAAATGGTTTGTTCTAAATTTTATTTATTTGTTTATTTTCTAATATTCAAAAAAAAATTTCATTATTTGGAAGATTCATCAAACTGATTGAATTTTTTATTTTAAAAAATAATATTAATCATTTTAAGATGATCAAAATAATTGCACTCGGGTTCTATGGCTCAGCCGCTTATCTTTCTGATACTTGGAATCGCCTTGATTTTTTTATTGTTTGTGCAGGGTAATTTTTATTCTTGTTATCATTTTTTTTCCCCTTTTTTGATTTTATTTAATTTTTCTTTTTTTTTAAATTTGTTATTCAATCATACTTACATCGTTTAATGAATTTCAATCATTTCTTTTTTTTTTTTTTTTTGCTGATGAATTTCCTATGAAATAATTTTTGATTTTTTCTGTTCTGATGAATAACTAACTTTTGATTTACTTTTTAAACAACTCACTTTTGATCCATTTTTTTCTAATGAGTAACTACTTAGATTGAACTAATGAAAAATTGTTATTTGGATATCGTCACGCAATTCCTAAAAGATACCGAGAAATATTGCTTAATATTTCAATACGTTGATATTAGGCTAATATTAGCCTTTTTTTTTTTTGAAGTACAACTTATTTTTATTGTAAATTTCAGGTGTGCAGAATATCTATTGCAAGAATACTTGGGTAATTTAAATTTAACTGCTATACGAACAATTCGTGTACTTCGACCGTTACGTGCTGTCAATAGGATACCATCCATGAGAATTCTTGGTTTGTGATGATTGATAATTTCCAATCAAAATTATTCTATGCATATTTTCTGACAAGGGAAAAGTTGAAAAGGAAGAAAAGAGAAAAAGAGGGAGAGAGAGAGAAGGAGGAAGAGAAAGAGAGATCAATACTGGAATAAGTATTATTAAAGTAATAGTGTTAATTAAATGAAATTAACATTTACAGTTAATCTATTATTGGACACATTACCGATGCTTGGTAATGTATTGTTGTTATGTTTCTTTGTCTTTTTCATATTTGGTATTATTGGTGTTCAATTATGGGCCGGACTGCTCAGGTATCATTTTAAGGTTTTTATTATTTGTCTAATGACATTTGATGTTATTTGTCTAAATGACATATACATATTTGTTTGGATATAAAGTTGTGATTTTCAGTTAATCAAGATTTTTTTGAAACAAAAATAGAAATCGAACAAAAAATCAAAACTTGGGTTCAAATACTTGACTATTACTTATATAAAATCTTCGGTATTTTATTTGTAAAATTTTTAAATCATTAATTATTATTATTATTATCATTTTTTTCTGTAAAGAGGACAATCATACATTTCAGAAATCGTTGTGTTATTAGCTTGCCCAAAATAAATGCTGATATTGATGTCTCAGATATATCACTTACACGGTAAAATAAAATTTCTCGATAAGTTTTGAATATTCCAACATCATAGTAAAAAATTTAAGCTAATCATTGATTAAGTTATCAGATGGATTGCATTGATAATTTTATTTGTTTAACAAATATCATAATATTTATTGATATGCTTGAAATCCTTTTGATATATAATTTTTTATTCTATGTTTATGATACTTCAACAGGTGTTCAGGTATTCACATTTTACCTTCCAATAATAGTGCATCTCTTTGCATTGCAGATATTATATACCGGAAGACACCTCGCTAGAATATATTTGTAGTCAAGCGGATTCATCAGGTCTTCATACATGCAATAATCTACCTCCTTACGTACACAACGGAGTTAAGTAAGCTTTCACATGTCAATTTCAATTAATCTAGGATTCAATTTTATCACAAATATATGAAATTATTAGTGGAAATTCTACACTTACCTGTTTATTTGAATTTCAATTTTTATTTATTTTTTATTCAAAATATTCGAATTAAATATATTTAACATCAAAGATTCTGGACAAAGAAGTACAAAACTTAGTTAAAATTAACAGCCAGTTAATTGTTTCGCAATAATAACATATAAAAATGGAATGATTTTTGTAAAAAGTAAGCAAAAGAATTAAACTAAAATAGTCAAATGACTTAGAAGTAAAATAATTGAAATAAAATAATTGAACAGCTTGTAAGGAAAATGATCAAATTTGCAAATACGTAATAAAGTACAAACAACATCGCGATAAAGTGTAAAAAACAGAAAAATTAATATTTGGTGAAATTGATAATTAATTAAGTTTGTCTATTAAATTTATCTAGAAATCAGATTTGACAACTAAATTTTTTAAATGTTTCACTTTTCAGATGTAATTTGACGATACATGAATGGACAAATATAAAAAATGATACAACAGCGTGTATAAATTGGAATGCTTATTATAATGAATGTAAAGTTATGCATCGTAATCCATTCCAAGGATCTATATCATTTGATAATATTGGTTTCGCATGGATTGCTATCTTTCTGGTATCAATTCTTCTCTTTTCCTTTTTTTTTTCTTCCCTTCTTTTTTACCTAATTTATTTATTTACGATTTCAAAATATACCATAAACAAAGTTATTTATCTATATTTCGATCACAATGGATAAGATCAGAACAATACATATTCTAAGATTTTCGATCGATAACATAACTGATAAGATAATTTTTACATAGGTTATAAGCTTAGAAGGATGGACAGATATCATGTACTATGTACAAGATGCGCATTCGTTTTGGAATTGGATATATTTTGTCTTATTGATTATTGTAAGTTTCCATCATGTTAATTTATCACAATTTTTATTAGCAAATAACAAAATGATAAGATACTTATTTATATTTACTTAGTATTGATTAATTGGATCATTAAAATATAACGTATTATTTAAAATGTAACTTAAATCCAATTCAATTTTTCTTTTTTGTTTTTCCATAATGAGAATTTGCAGATAGGAGCATTTTTCATGATCAATTTATGTTTGGTTGTTATCGCAACACAATTTGCGGAAACAAAACGACGCGAAACCGAACGAATGATTGAAGAAAGGAAAAGACTACGATCATCAGGATCTCTCAGTTGGTTTAACAGGATTTACATTTCTTCGTACTGCGAATTTTTTAATTTCAAGATTTTATACGTGAGGAAATAGCGTCGATTATTTTAGGTAGCGATCCGGCTCATTTATCGAGAGATGATGAAGAAGGTGATAGTGTTTATGCAGCTATAATCAAATCTATACGACATTATTCTCGTCGATTGAAAAGAAGATTTCTTAAGGTATCAACATATATAACTTCAACTTGAACAACTTACTCTTTCAGCAAATCTTTGTAGTACAGCAAATGAACCAGCAACATTGCATGGACCAAAAAAAAAAACCAATACGCACATAATTGTTATCTATGATATATTATAGAAATTTTTTTTATTTCAGCAATGGAAAATTTGGGAGGAACGTTTTGCGACTAGGCGGAAATTCTTTAAAGGCTTTTCAAATAACACTCAACCAAAAGCTGAAAATTCTAAAGAAACGAAAGCGAAAGATGTCAAAGTAGCCAATATTGCTACAAGTAATACAACTAACTTGAAGTTAATTGAAGAACTTAAACTTGTTTTTACGATATTTTCTTCAGAACATATTTAGTGGCACATTTACTTCTACATCTTCACTTGGATACCAAACTAACTTTCTCTGTAATTCTTTAGTACTGGCAAATTAATTGGAAGACTAAAAGGATAAAAAGTAACAATGTTGACAGATGATGAATGGTTTGACAATGTCCACTTATTGAATTATAAGATTTTATAAGCTATTACAGATGACACGTTATTGCCATTGGAAAGTGCCCATCACGAGGAAAGTACCCATCACGAGGAAAGTAAATTGCAAGATACTATTAAGAATCTGAAGTGGAATGGAAGTATGAATGGTACGCTTCTCTTTTTCTTGTCTTTTTTTTTGTCGAAATTTCAAAGTTTATGGAGTGAAGTTATTCATAAAATTTCTTTATTTTGATTGGCAAATTTACATCACGAATAATACCTTATTAAGTGACAGATTGCACATCGAACAGTCTAGAAAGTGACGTGGAGATAGGTTCAACGAATGACAACCATCTTGCCTCACTGAAAAAATCCGTTCGAGTGGGAGATTTGTCAAGCGGTGAGGAAAGTGATGTGGAACTTTCCGATCAATTATCCGGAACCGAATCTGAGCTTGGATATGGTGATGCTGATGGTATTCGTAGCAGCAAGGACTATGGTGATAGTTCCCGCACTAAATCGGTAATATGCATTCGTGATTGCATTTCATTTTTTTTTCTGACAATAAGCAGAAAAATAAATGAAATTTGAAAATTAAATTCGAAGTGGAAGAAGTAAAATTTCCACCTGTTACAACGGTTATAATTTCGATTAATCTTGAACTCTCTTTATGACGTTTTGAATTTACAACTCGTGTGTTATTTCTGCCTATTAATATGCTAATACATTTAAGGATAAACTGACCAAAACAAATTCTACGCTATTAGGTCGATTTCGTGAAAAACTTCGAGCATTTGTGGTTTGTAATCATTTCAAACGCGGTATTTTATTCGCTATTTTGATTAATACTCTCAGTATGGGCGTCGAGTATCACCAGCAGGTTTATTTTTATTATTGCGATAAATTATCAATGAAATCGATAAATCATTATTAACATTTGGCCAAATAATATGCTTGGTTTTTAATCTGTAAGCAACCATTGTTAAGTTTATTTTTTAGCCTGAATTACTGACAACAATCTTAGAAATCAGTAACTACTTCTTTACTGGTTTATTCGCATTGGAAATGTTGCTCAAAATAGGTGCAGATGGTTTATTTGGATATCTTTCCGATGGTTTCAATCTTTTTGATGGCGGAATAGTCGCACTAAGGTAAAGCTTATTTTTCATTTATTATAACGTTTTCAAGACTTCGGACATGCTTCCTTTCCCTAACCAAAATGAATTTTTGAATTTGCCCTTAAATTGAAAGTTTTCTAAGAGTTGAAATATTTCATCTGAAGAAAAAAAGATTTTTATCTTTCTTCTAATACATTTATCCGTTGAAATAAATTATTACTTGATTGTTTCCACAGTGTGTTGGAATTGTTTCAAGAAGGAAAAGGAGGATTATCAGTACTTCGAACATTTCGTTTACTTCGGATTTTGAAACTGGTTCGATTTATGCCCGCTTTACGATATCAGTTGGTTGTTATGTTACGTACAATGGATAATGTGACGGTATTCTTTGGATTACTCGTTCTCTTCATCTTTATTTTCAGGTATGCATGAAAAGTATGTAAATTTATTTTTGTTAAATTGCAAAATGAAAGTTATGTGTACATTAAATTTACAACATACTCAAAACGAACTAAATTTTCAAAAATTGTCATCCGTAGGTTATTTAATGCCGGGAATTGTATCGGTCACTTTTTCTTTTGCTCAACTTTTAGATAGATTTTATTGCAGTATACTTGGAATGAACTTATTTGGATGCAAGTTTTGCAAAAATCCAATTAATGCAATGGATCAAACTAAGAAATGTGAGCGCAAAAATTTCGATTCTCTGTTATGGGCACTGGTCACTGTTTTTCAGGCATGTATTGCATTTATTCTTATGGTTTTAAACGACCTTTTAAATTTAACGATTTATTTTTTGAAATTTTTGAAATTTCCTAGAATGAATTGAAATGTAATTATCGAACCAGAAATGAATGATAGCTTTGTGGGTTTGATAATGAAATATGTTCAAGATCTTTTTCTTCTTGAAATATCTTTTTCTTTTCTTTTTGGATTTGGAAATTAGTTGACACGAAAAAATTTCAGTTTACAAAAGCTGTGTATAACTTTATACTAAAGATACACTTTCTTTTTCGAAATTTAAATTCATTTTCCTTTTATTTTCAAGATTTTAACACAAGAAGATTGGAATGTCGTTCTATTTAATGGCATGGCTCGTACGACACCTTGGGCTGCTCTATACTTTGTTGCTTTGATGACATTTGGCAATTATGTACTATTCAATTTGCTTGTTGCAATCCTGGTTGAAGGTTTCCAAGAAAGTAAGGAAGAAGAGAAACGACAATTGGTAAAATTCTGTCTTTCCATCAAATTGAATTCTTGTTAAAAAGACTGGAATGATTGTAAGAGTAAATATTTTTGAAAAAAATTTTAATAACCAATCAAAAATTCTTGAAAATGCCAACAATTAACGATATTGTCCGATTTTCTTTTATCTTATTAATTTCCGAATAATCGATATTTCATTTCATATAAGCAATTTTTTCATAATATATTTCAGGAAGAAGAAGCTATGAAAAAGGCAACTGATGAAGAAAAAGAAAGAAAACGTGAATTGGAATTATTTCTAGCGAAAGCTTCCTCTTCCACATATCTTAATCAAAAGGTGCAACTATTTTCTTTTTAATATTCAATTTTTGATAAGTGATAATCGTGAAAGTTAGATTGATTTCTGATGTTAATTGTATTTCAGAATTCTCCCACCTATTATAGTTACGATCGTGGACCAGGTAATTTTCAAGCATTTCAAGATGTCTACCAAATGCGATACAGTGTTCCGACAAGTCCAGATGATGTATGTTTCATTATTTTGAATTTGAAAATTTTTTGCAAAAAAATTCTATTTTTTGAACATTTGACTAAAAAATAAAACAGCTTTAATGTGTCTGTTACTCCATTATTAATGAATTTGACTATATGTTTAAAGTTATGCATTCTGTACTAATAAATAAGATCCAATTAATTTTTCCATTTTTTTTTGCTTAGTTTTTTTCTTTTTTTTTTTAGGAGGAGGAAGGTGAGAAATCATTGCAGTTAAGACAACGATCGTTTCTAACCAGACGAACTGGTAGTTTCAATCGGCATCATCCAGCAAAATCAATTAATTCTAGTCTTTATTATAGGTAATTTTTTTTTGTCACTCCAATTCAAATGAAACGGAAAAATAATTTTCGATAGTTTGTTTTTTTTTTTACAGAAACTTGTTAAGTTGTAAAATCTGCAAAACTTTGCCAAACTGTAAAACTTGTCATTCCCAAAACCCAACAAATTATAAATTGTTTATTCTTTTAGGCTTCCGTTATAGCCTATGTTTAAGAATACCATTCAATTTCATCGTCGATAACAATATAAGATTTCAGTTCGTTGAATTTGCAAATATAATAATATCAATAATCATGCCATTTCGCAAAAAGCAAAGTATCCCATCGTAGGGTCAGTGGTCAGTTTTTGCGACATGTGTCACTGAAAATGGAAGAATTGGAAAAAGAAAAGCGAATAATTCCTTTCTTTTTTTTTTAAGATTAGATCGACATACTTCACTTATCCTACCTCAAATGATACCGTACTTTGATCCTTATTCAAACGCCGAAGTTCGACAACGTATGAATAGTTGGTGTGGAATGCAAACAAAACTCAATCCATTTCGTTCTATTGATAGTCGGCAAGCTGTTATTGAAGCCTATACAAGGGATAGGTTAATTAAGGTTAATTAAATATGTTGAAAATCTTTATCTTCCTTTCCCAAAAATCAATAAAATTTCAACTTTTTTAAAATAAATTATATGCAATTAAAAATGCACAGAAGATTGAAATATGAAAGATGCATCGACTTTTTTTTCAATTCGTAGGATAAATATAACCCAAAAGTTTTGCTTCAATTAATAATAAAGCAAATTCCAATTGAATTAACCATTTGAGGATGGAAAGAGATAAAAACTTTGCACAAATTCAACATGCATTATAAATTTCGAATCTTTGGAAAAATGAGAAGCGATAAATTTAAGAAATAAATACAACACAATAAGAATTATTTCTTTCCTGAAAGTTAAAACTGAAGTTATAACTAATTTTATCAGGCTTTATGATAAGCCTTTTTGAACAGTAATCATTGTTTTTATTTTTTATCAAAATGAGATCACGTACAACAAATGGGAAATTTCTTTGCAAGATTTCAAACATCATTTTAATTGTTACATTCTTAATTTGAAAACTTTTTTCTCCCAGAATTTCACACAAACATTTATTATTTTGATTATAAAAAACAAAAAAACTTGAAAGCGAACAAAAATAATTTCATCATGATTGATCAAAAGATCTGATAATCTAATCATAATTTATCAGAAGATTTGATAATTTGATTATAATTGTTCAGAAAAGAAAAAAAATTTTCCCGCAAAATTGTGGAAGAAAATAATTTGACAAATGACAGGAATATTTTTGCAGGCAAATGAAGAATTGCAAGCAGCGATTGAGCAGGATGAACGTTGCAAGAGAGAATGGCAAAATACGAAATTGATGCGATTATTGCGAAAAACGTGTTTTTATAAACGTGCCGATTATTCGCTTTATATTTTTAGTTCAAAAAATCGAATTCGAATTAAGTAAGTTTGTTTGCACTAATGAGTTAAAATGCTGTACAGGTAGCGATGAAAAAGTTGTGATAAATTAGTAAAACTAAAATTTTAAAACTGCTAGTGATATGAATCGAAGAAAGAGGGAAGCGGCGAATAGTCACAATTATATTTGTAGAAAGAAAATATAACACAAATGGTTAGCGCAAATGTCGCGATGTACAGCATATGCTATGCTTTTTCTTTTTTTTTTAGGTGCCTTCAATTAACACAAAAAAAATGGTTTGATTATACGATTTTGATATTCATCGCTATTAACTGTATTACACTAGCCATGGAACGACCATCAATTCCACCGAAATCGCTGGAACGACAATTCCTCACATTTACCGGATATGTTTTCACCGTAATTTTCACCATCGAAATGAGTATGAAGGTTAGCATAATTTCAAACTTTCAAGTTAAATAATTACGGATAAAAAGAATGAATTGATTGCAACAAATTGGATATTATTTAATTGATATTACTCAGTTGACAATTTAGGTTGTTGCGAATGGATGTTTATTTGGAAAAGATGCTTATTTTAAAGATGGATGGAACATTTTGGATGGCGCATTAGTCATTATAAGTCTTATAAATGTTGTTTTTGAATTGTTAGTTCATATAGGTAAGTTCGACTAATTCTTATTTATTTTAAATCATATGTACTTTCACAGATAGCTATTCTATTTATTTTTAGTAATTCGATTTTAAAATTTAACAGGAAGTTTTATATCTTTTAAGATTCACCGAAAATATTTGGTGTTATACGTGTATTACGGTTGCTACGAGCATTGCGTCCGTTGCGTGTTATCAATCGAGCACCTGGTGTGAAACTGGTGGTTATGACGTTAATAAGTAGTTTGAAACCTATTGGAAACATTGTTTTGATTTGTTGCACTTTTTTTATCATCTTTGGTATTCTCGGTGTTCAGTTATTCAAGGTAAAATTAACTTTAACCAGCTTATAGGTAGATAAGTTTCCAAAACAAATAAGCAATGAGACAATTGCATTAGGAAGTGAACAAATTGCTAACAATTCAACTGATCAAAGTAATCAGCTAATCAAAATTTTAACAAGAATTGAAGGTTGACGCATCAAAGATACTTGACATTAGCAATAACAAAACATGAATTTATTTGTAGGGTATGATGTTCCACTGTGTTGGACCAAATTTAACTAATGTCACAACAAAGACAGATTGTTTGATGGATCCACGAAATCGATGGGTTAATCATCGTTATAATTTTGACAATCTTGGCCAAGTAATCTTTTGGAAATGTTGTCAGTTTATTAACAATTTTGATAATCCTGTCCGGATAAGCTTATGACAATTTTGAGGTCTTAGCTAAGTAAGTTTTTAACAATTTTGACTAATCTTGGACTAATAAATTAGCAGAGTTCAAACTTAAAAAATATTATTGACAAGAAATTACTTAAAAATTGGTAATTATCACGTTCAAATTACGTTTAATTTTTCTAGGCATTAATGTCATTGTTTGTATTATCCAGTAAGGATGGCTGGGTTGCTATCATGTACCAGGGTATTGATGCCACAGGTGTAGATTTACAGGTAATTAATATGATTTATTAATTTTATGATTTTTCAAAATTTTTGTAAGTATAAATTTAATTCATGTCTACTTCAGCCGATCGAAAATTACAATGAATGGCGAATGATTTATTTCATTTCCTTTCTACTACTTGTCGGATTCTTTGTACTGAATATGTTTGTTGGTGTTGTTGTGGAGAATTTTCACAAATGTAAAGAAGCATTGGAAGCTGAAATGAAGGAACAAGCACGAAAAAAGCGCCTGGAAAGAAAATTAAAACGACAACAATACGAAAGTGAATATGGACAAAAGAAAAAAAGACGTAATTGATCATTTCATTTCCTTTCTGCTTTACATTTTTTAATTTCAATTATAAATGTAATTGAAATTGAACAAAAATGCAGAATTGAGTTTTAGTTTCAACTAATACTATTGCATATGTTAGAATACAAAATTATTCATTCAAATATTCGCGGCTTTTTTTGTGGCGTAAAAAATATCAACAATTTAAATGATATCTTACATTTACTGACGTTTTGAGGTGAAAAATCTCAACCATACTGGCACAATTACGGTCCCACAAGGCTATTTTTAAACAATATTGTGACATCAAAGTACTTCGACTTAGCCATCGCCGCTGTTATTGGTAAGTTTGAAGTTCCTAAAGCACTAAATTCCCAACTTCGCTTTCACATTAACAATTTACCAAATCTCGTCATAATTTGACGCCTCAATTGAAATCAAATATTCTTAAACAAGGAAGAAGAAACTAATATAGTAAGCTGATAGATAGTTTTATTTCTAATAAGTTCAAAATAAGCTACAAGCTACAAGAATCAAAATAAGCTACAATAATTCCCAAGTATTTTTATCATATCGTTTCACTAACTCTTAAACATTGCAGGAGTAAATGTTATCTCAATGGCAATGGAGTTCTATATGATGCCAATTGGACTGAAATATGTCCTTAAAACATTGAATTATTTTTTCACAGCTGTCTTCACTCTCGAATCTGTGATTAAACTTATAGCATTGGGATTTCGTCGCTTTTTTCAGTGAACGGTAAGAAATGTATTTATTGCAAAAAAGGAGGCAAATTCAAATTCAGCTAAGTCTCATTCTAAGTTCTTTTTTTTTTCAGCAAACTTTGAATTTTGTTTATATTTTCAATTCTTGCAATTTCTCATAAATTGAGATTGCAAAGAGGGCAAAGATCAAATAAAGCAGGCCTAAAATCAAAACCAATTATCATCACATTATTTACTGCTTTTTCTCGCTCCATGATATAATAATGATAGAAATCAGTGCAATTCGGAACTTACAGATGGAATCAATTGGATATTTCCATTGTAATTCTATCTATCGCTGGTATCATATTCGAGGAATTTGAAGCCTTAGAATTACCCATTAATCCAACAATTATCCGAGTGATGCGAGTCCTTCGGATTGCTCGGGGTAATTTAAATTCCATTTTATTGTTCTTTCAAAACGTTTCAAGAATTTATATTACATACTAACACGACTAATAGAAGCAATATTTAGCACTACCGTTGATATTAATCCTTTCAAGGTTATAGTATTATTTTGACAAAATATTTTTAACTTAACTACTGACATCATCGGTTTAAAATGACAAAGCTCATGAGAAATTCAAAAATTTTCAAATTTCACTCCCCGAATAATTTCGAATTTTGTTTTCTTTAAGAAGTATTTTCTTAACATTAAAAGGAATAAGCAAAAAGTAAATTACACTACATAAACATCTGAAATAATTGCTTTTTAATTTTTTATAAGAACTAACGTTCTTGTAAAAATTTGAATGTTAATTACCAATTTCTAATATATATATATATATATGAAATTGTTTTTGCAGTATTGAAATTGTTAAAAATGGCTAAAGGTATCCGATCATTGTTGGATACTGTTGGTGAGGCATTACCACAAGTTGGAAATCTTGGATCCCTTTTCTTTCTCCTGTTTTTCATTTTTGCCGCTCTTGGTGTCGAGTTATTCGGTAAACTCGGTATGTAAGCTTGACAAGAAAAACCTTTTTTTTCTTTATCCGACACAAAATAATGGTAAAAATATTTGGCTGAGAATTATAATGTAACTTTAACTCACCTATCGTAGAAATTTGACAGTGAAGGGAAAGTACTGTGTTAAAGTAATCATAGCTTTTTAAAACCTGGAAAATTCGATCAATTTAGCAATTATCGAGCGGTAAAGTATTTCAAAAAATCAATATATTTTTTATAATTTGATAAAACGAAATTTCCAGAATGTTCGGATGAACATCCATGTGATGGACTTGGTGAGCATGCTCATTTCAAAAATTTTGGCATGGCATTTCTTACATTATTTCGCATAGCTACAGGTGATAATTGGAATGGAATTATGAAGGTATATGAGCATTAAATGCTGACAAAATTTAATTATATTTTGAAAATTTTCAAATATTGTTTACAAACAAAAAAAAAGTCAATTCTTAATATATTTGTAAATGCTAAGTTATGAATTAGATTTCTTTTTTTAAAGTTAAAAGTTGTGAAAAAAAAATTTTTTTCGCTAGTATTTTTTATGCGTAGCATGACATTTCAATATTAATTCAGGTTCTTTCTTTTTTTTTTGTTTATTTTTAGGATGCATTACGTGATGATTGTGATCCATCGGATCATTGTGAATCAAATTGTTGTGTCGATCCAATATTAGCACCATGTTTTTTTATCATTTTTGTACTGATCTCGCAATTTGTATTGGTCAATGTTGTTGTTGCTGTTTTGATGAAGCATTTAGAAGAGAGTAACAAAAGAGAAGAGGCGTCTGATGGTTTGTACATGAATTTTCATCCATACGAACAAAAAAAAAGATTTAGTTTTGATACCGTGTATCAGAATGTAAACACAATGAGTCATAAATTTTATTTCGAAATCAGGAGAATTTAATATAAGTAATAGCTTATATAGTCAAAAATGAAGAAGGGAAAAAAATTCGCTTGTGAGATTTTTTCTAATTGCTTAAATTAAGCTATTTTAGCATTTCGTCCATTCAATCCAATGTAAACATTAATAACAAATACATTATAAGGTATAATTTCAGGTCATGGGATAACTGGAACGGATACCGATGTGAATAAAACTGATACAGATGTTGAAGATAATGCCGATTCATCACAAAAAGATTTAGTTTGTTGTATTTTTGCAGAAATTTTCATCAATTAGAAACAAAAAATTAGGAGAATTAGGAGATAAGAAGGCGAAAAAATTTATTTGATAGATTGATGGAATCAGAAATGGAAATATTTGTTGAAATAAGTGAGTCATTTATAAAAAAGTGAATGAATAAGTAAGTAAACAAATGTCATATCATATTAAGTCAAAATGTCAAACTTGTCTGGTTATCATCTCTTCATGATTCTTTTCTTTTCTTCTTGTCTTTTACGATTGCTTGATTTTAAAATTTTCAGGATAATACTGGTGCTGATACGAAGAATGAAAAGGATTGCTTATTAGTTCATACAAGATATATGGAAACACCTTTACTGAAACACAACGAACATCACAACGGGCATTCCCCCATGCTCAAATGATCTTCAAAATTCTTAATTTTTGTAAATAGTCTTTTATCCTCTTACAAGTTCAAAAAATAATAATAATAATTGTTGATGACACTGGTATTCAATGATAAGTTGATGAATTTTAATAGCACTCATTAAATTATGATTTGGTGTTTCAAGATTTCTATTTTGATTTAAAATTTTATTTCAATTTGTCTATTGTTAGACGTTTAACGTCCATCATCAGGATTATCCAGATATCAGTGCAGCGTGCCTTTCGATGATAGTACGATTCGTTATCGGAATTAAGTTCCCTGATAAAATTATACGATGGCAATCGTCAAATCATTTCATTATATTCAACTATTCGTTAAACTTGGAATCTCTAAATCTTGTTATATGATAAAATTAGAAAATTCCATAAATCCCATTTGTCTTCATTAAACAGATAATTTTATAAAAAGAATTATTAAATTATTTTGCTTTCAATAATTGTTGGCCAAAATCTATTTAATAATCTCATTTGCATACTATCTGATCTTTTTAATCAATCAGTATCCCATAATAGTGCTAGTTATAGTTGATGCTGCTACTTATCATTGGGCATATTGTAATCATATAAATTTCAGACTGTGATCATTTTCATTTCATTTTTTCTTTTTCAAAACTTATTTTGTTTGCATTGCTGCCTCCTCTTCCACCAGTATGATAATCTGAATTTCAAAATGTCATATTTCCAGAACCTGTAAAATCACTTTGCACAGCTTGAAATGGGCTCAATAGATTGTCACGAAATCCTTTTTTTCAAAATCTCGATTTCGAAATTTCAAAAATTGCTCAAAATTATTGTTATGAGAAGCAAATCCTTTATATTAATGAATAAAATGCCAATTATCTCTTTTAAATTCAATTAATTTCAATATAATAAAAAGAAATTCCTTGTAAAAGTTTTGTTCATATTTTGTCCGCGCGATACAATATATTCACAGTCCAGTCTTTATTAGATGCTGCTCATCGTTTCCATCCATACATATATATATATATGTATATATATATATATATATATGTATATATATAAAAGCTATTTGGTGTCTTAATGTAATTAATTATAATAATATAAAAACAAATAAAACATACAAATTAATTGTTACTCATCAATTTGGGAAATTCGTTATTCTTCGAGAATGTTCCGGTAAAAACGACGAAACGAACGGATTTCTTCCTATTAATCCAAATTGTTCCCTTTTTTTTTCTTGACAAGAAAGTGGTCGTTGTATTTTTGTACGTATAAATTTTATTATTTCTTTTCCACTTTTTTTTTATATAGCTGTACGCTATATGTTCACTTTTGGTTTGTGTAAATTAAACATCGCTTTCAATGTGCATATCAACAACATTAATGTTCAACTGATTTTCATGTTTGTTGGGTGCTCAATAAATTTTTTTTTTTCACTTACCTTGGGTAATTACGTCAAATAACACGTCAATTTCAGTAAGACGTTATTAACTTTCTTTTCATAGAAACAGTAAATCGCTCATAAAACTTTACGATAACTATTTAATTAGCAATTGATAATATTTGTACATATGCAACGGTAATATATTTTGTTATTTAACTACTAAATATTTCAATTGTAAAATCTGCATACAATCTTTGTCTGAAGTTAACTAGACCGCTGTTAAGATGCCAATCAGGTTATACGCCACTTTTTTCTGGGCTTTTGACGAAATGAAAGTTTTCGTGGAATGTCTTTCCCGCGTGATTTACATCATGTAATTGTGACGTTTCACATAGTTACGAATTAACCCATGTCATTCTGTGGTTCTTCCAATCCGGAATTTCCAGGATTATTTTTTTCTTTTTTTAAATATAACCAACAAATTACACGTCAAAAAATATTGTGAAACGAACGAAAAGCAAATATCAAACCTTTCCTTTGGCGCCACTATGACAACAGATATCTTCTCTAATCAATAATGTTCTCTAATCATGTGATAGTTAAACAAGACAAGCATTCCGGAAAATCATTGATTCGTAAATGACCAAATAAATCCTGTATATGCCTACGAGAAACGGATCAGGTCCCTTGGGATTACTCGATCTGAGAGATCTGTGGATGGTCCCACGTTTATTCCCAGTCAAGGGCCCGTTGTAACGAGGAGGAAGCAGGCAGTGTGAGAATTAGATAGGGAGATGAGTAGGTAGGTGGGTTGAGGATCGGTGAGGTTAGGTTTAGAGGATGGTGAGTCTTGTTGGAGAATGAAATGAAAGAAAATTGAGAAGGAAGGAGACTACGAAAAGTATCGATGACGAGTGGGAAAGAATGTGGATGTTTCATTTAAAGCGGGGATTTTATGGTGGGGAATTGTTGAGAGATTCGAGAGAAATAACTTATGTTCTGGTGGAAGTTAATTCGGGGAAATGTTGATTGTATTGCAGGATGACATTATTCTGTTCTGGTTATTTCAAGGACCAAATCAAGTATTATTTGCAATTTACGCTGAAATTAACGACTAATTAAGTGTTTATTTATTCGTCCAACGAAGAATGTCGTTTGTATTCCATATCCTTCACACTGTTCCATACAGCAACAAACCCATCGTCAAGGTTCGGAAATTTTTTGTCAATATCAGAAATATGATTTCAGAACAAATCATGTAGCAAGCTGCTAACCTCACTTCATATTTTGACGGTTGCGATTTCTTTTGTAGAAGTTGGAGGCATATATTTATTTTATTTGCTTATTTTTGTGTGTTCGTTCATTTATTTATTCGTTTGTTTATTTATGAATTAGTTTATTTATCCGTCTCTTTCTTTATTTATTCATATATATATATATATATATATATATCTGTTCGTTTATTTATTTGTTTGTTCATTCGTTTATTCATTTGTTAGTTTACTATTTCTTTATTAAACAGAATAAATAAACATGTTCATTTATTTATTTGTTCATTTATTTGATTTATTTGTTTATATTTATTTGCTTATTTATTCGCTAATTTGTTTTATCGGTTCATTTATTCCTTTGTTTGTTTGTTCATTTATTTGTTCATTAATTAATTAATTGACTAGTTACTTAATTTATTCATTCCTTCAGAAATTTCCCACTTAATCAGCCGATGTTATAGGACGTAATTGCAAGTTTACACAGTTATTTTACTTGCAATTTATTGATTGCTTTTTCCGTTATCATCAGCTTTAAACAGTTTGGTGGCCGTCCGATGGAGTGTATGTTGCCGATGGGTTTCAGTGGAGCATGGGAGCAGGTTACTTCTTCAATTCTATTAAATACTGTTTACTCTGAATTTATGCCGAATTCTGTCGTCTGTCACGATTATAGTGGTTGAACTTTTCTGATAGCATAATGAAAAACTGAATGTCAATTTTGTACGTTATATGCTGTAAGAGAATCGGGAAACTTGTTTTTCCCATTCCTACGTTACATTCGACCTCTAATCAAAAATTTTTTAGTCAACTCTTTTTTACAGTACGCAGAAAATTTTTGTTGGGCGCAAGATACATATTTTGTTCCGCCGAAGGTCTTTGTGGAGGATATTTCGGCAGAGGAACGTCGAGAACGTCGGATTAGTTACTACCAATGGATGCCATTTTTTTTGCTGTTTCAAGCAGCATGTTTCAAGGCACCTACTCTCATATGGAAATATTTTGCCGGACAGTCAGGTATTAATTAGGATGATTAAGTAGTTTATACTTACCATTGTTGTTGTGGTTAAGCACCAATAAAGAAGAGTGAGGCTTTTTCCTTAAATTGATATATACTTCGTATGCACCCTACTACATCTGCATTTCACTGATTTCTTGTTCTTTTAGGCTTTTAAGCGATTTCTTGTTCTTTTAGAGTAGGCCAAGTATGCTTATTTTTATTTATTTATATTACACATGATCAAAAACCTGAAAGAATGACGTTTTATGTATCACAAAAAAGAATGTACTACATATTACTGCCTGGACAAAGTTGTATCATCCAGTGTAAAACCGTCATGACTGAGTGATAGATTTCAAGAAATCTATCGAATCAGATAATATTTTTGGCTTTTGTTGTATTCTAGGGATGAAGTTGGGTCAAATCCTTCGATTATCCAGTGATCCAGCGAATTCATCTTTGGAAGTTAAGAAGGGGAATATTGAAGCGTTATGTATACATTTGCAAGGTGCGCTAAGATTCCATGAACGGGTGAAAAAGGTATTCATTTTAAATAAAATCCGTCTTTGCTTAACTTTATTCGAAATTAATTCTACATTCATGTTTGTTATCTGAATTGCAGAAGAAATTGGTGCCTCATAAAATTTGTCGAATTTTAAATTTAAAATATGCGAATTATTACGTTGCAACGATATATATTTTAGCGAAGTTGGCATTTCTGGCAAATGCTATATTCCAGATCTCTTTGATGACACGGTAATTCTTTCCAAAAAATGAATGCCAGTTGATTAGTCGTAGAAAAAGGTTTTTATATAAGAATATATGCTGACGAATGGAAATGCGGAGAACCATTACTTTAAATTGGAATTCCCGAAAAATTTTGGATTATTTCAGGTTTCAAGGACCTTCAAAAATTTTATTGTTTGTGCAGCCTGATGTGGAAGATTGTTTATGTTCGTTAAACCACTTTTCTTGTTTTCAGATATCTATTACCAGAGTTGAGAAATGATTACGGTTTGGAGTCATGGATAAATATTATCTGGCCTAAGAATGTTTCTCCATCGTGGCACTACAGTGGAATTTTCCCTTTAGTAACGCTTTGCGATTTTGAAGTGGGTGAATCAGGAATATCAATTAAAGCCGTAATTCTGTGTTTGTTATTCATCCTTATTCCGGATATTTCACTTACACTACTTTTCAGGTCCGAGAAATGGGAAACATACAGACTCATACAGTGCAATGTGTTCTTGTTGTAAACTTATTCACTGAGAAAATCTTTATTCTTCTGTGGGCTTGGTAATTATTTTTCATATAACACACCAAAAATTCTATTAATTATTGAGCTACGCACAAATTCGAAAACTCATTATTAGAAGGTTTGCTTTGAGCAGCTGGACGGTTTCTGGTAGTATCACTGTCGTCTGATTTCCAGGTTTATGGTATTGGCAGCACTTACATCTCTGAGTGTTTTCAACTGGATCTATTTGTTAACAGAAAATTGTTCAAAAGAACACTTCATTCTGAATCATCTCGAAATGAGCGGAACACCGTTTGATAAAAATGATCCACGTTAGTGGTATTTTTTGCAGTACTGATCAGTCACTTTTTTGTGCAGCCTAGAAATCGTAAACACATAGCTAAAGGAATGAAATTTTTGTCATGACTCAGATAATTAAGTTTACTTCTGGCTGTATAATATTCAAAAAAACAAAGACGATGCGTAATTTTTTTTAGAAAATAAGGAGCACGTTGACTGCTTTTTGCACAAATATTTGGGAACAGATGGCATTTTTGTTTTAAGAATGGTTGCTAATCATGCGGATGTTGTTTTTGCGACTGAATTAATTGCATCCCTCTGGCGATCTCACTATGTTTTCGAGGAAAGGAGAAAGTAAGTAATTCTATAGCGAACTTGCAGAATTTGCAAGTTACATTTGATGGAAGCTTACGATTTTAGCTGTCCGAATCATTCCTTCTAATTCATTCGTTGCATAAGGTTGTCGATTGCAGGAAATTATTTGGAATTTTTATTTAGAGATTTCTCTTTAGAAATATATCACAAATGGATAAGGTATGGCCACAACACCAACAGAGATTGGAAATGGCATTACTTGAAGAAGCTGAAACTGCTCGAAAGATTAGTTCGGATGCCTTAAACGTGCTGCAAAGAAAAAGAAGTATTTTCTTTGATTCACCATATTTTGTTAAACGTGGTTCGCCGACTGGAGTAACGATACCGAAAGTACCATCACGTTAGTCTACTTTATTGTATTCAGTTCGGGAAAAAAAAAACTTTCTTGAGTTTCGTTAATATGTTTTCCATCGTGGAAATAGAGTTAACTCTAATTGAGCTGTTGCTTAAGGTATAATTGAGTTAAGGTATAAAGACCGGAAAGTTCTCACTTATATCTCTATATTTTGTTTAGTATGATATCATGAACAAAATGATCATGTACTCAATTAGATACAGTTATTGATCCTATTCCAGGGAACATCCTGGGAAGTCCGTGTTTGCTGTCCCGAAACAATTCCAAAGATAGCATAATACCATTTTCACCACGTCTCGGAAATCATCCTCGTGGCAGCACTTTCTCGACTGAGAGTCAAGGTAAACTTCGACGACGGCACAGCATGGAGGATATCGATATTGGTGGTGGTAGAGTCAAATTTGCAGACAGCAGCGATGAGGAAGACCGAGAGAAAGAAAAAGAGAAAGGTCCAAAAAGTTTTAACATGACCCGGAAAAGCTCTATCAAAATTTGGTGAAGTAATAACTTTGTAGGGAAACTATAACGATTTCTCCTGATCTCACAATTCTAATATATACGAAGAAATATGAGGAAACTGCAACTTGATTAGGAGTTCTGACAGTTTTTTATTCCTGTTTTTTTGTTTTTGTAGTTTTTATTTAAAGCACTAGAAAAATGCAGAGAAAATACTTTATGATGGAATAGAACACATAAGGCGTTATCGGTGTTGATAAACATATCACTACTGAGAAGCGAAAGAAGTTTGAGATTAGGCAATTCAAGAAAGCTATCCTTTATATTTCTTGTCAATCTTAGCACTATGATGCGAGGAGGGGAAAGTACAAAAGAAAATTCGTAACTGTCATAAAAGCTAAACGCTTTGTCATGGAGTAGATCATACAAAACACATGTACATTATTAAGAATGTAAAAGGCTGTAGTCTTTACGGACATTTCTGACCAGTTAATTTTTTCTGATCATATTAAATGAAAAAAGCATCGAGTTCCTTAATCCCGGTGGATTTGTTTGTGGATTTTTTGCCTCGTTTTTTCATCAGACTATTTCTAGGGAAAAATCATCAATTGGTCATATTTCCCACTTTATTTTACTGCATCGTTCTCCTTATTCTTCATAGCTGATCAGCGAGTGTCCGTAAAACTGTAATTAGATGATAGATAAAAGCGCAAAATATATGTGAATTATTAAATGTTTTATATCATCTGCTCCTTAACAAAGCATTTAGACTTTGATTCATGATAGTTACTAATTTCCTTTCGTACTCTTCCCTTTTTGCATCACAGTTCTCTTATAAAGTTAACGAAAAATATAAAAGATAGCCTTTTTGAACTGCTCAATCTCAAACTTCTTTCATTTTTCAATAGTGATATTGACATTCTATTTTCAATAGTGAAACATTTTTCAACAGTGATATGATATTAACGACACCGATAACGTCTTATCTGATCTGTTTCGTGACAAAATATTTTCCATGCATTTTCCCATTGTTTTAAATCAAAACTAATCGAATTACAATTTCCTTATATTTGCATAAACTAAAGAAATCATTACAGCTTCCCTACGAATATGGAATGGTAGACTTTCGGGGATCAGCAAGTAAGACCAAATTTAAATTTCGATATCTAATGGTCTACTCCCTCCCAAATGGTTACATTCCCCATTTCATTTTACTGCATTTAAAAACGTCCCTGTCAATTCCACATGTAATCAGAGTTTTGTTATATATGTTCAGTATTGCGAATCTTGAAAGTTAGCAATGTTAACAAGGTTTCTTTACGGTAGAACCGTCAAACGGACTTCGGAAGCACTCATACATGTATTCGATAATTCTTTAAACTTTTACTTTATTTGTGAAACAAAATTGAACAACCTTGTACCCACTTTCGATGAAGCGTATAATGCGGTGGTTAACTGTGGTTTTTCTTTGAGCATATTCGTGAATATTTCTTTTAAGACATTATCATCCAAGTGTTTCTCGAGTACATCCGAAACAACACGAAGAAGGTACGGTACAGAATGTACCGGTAATGAAAACATGCCAACCATGTAGTTGGGCAGGACTTCACGAACAAAGACTGCGGGAAATTCGCGCACTAAAAGCTGAAATACAAAGTGAGCTTGAAAATTTCAAATTTTAAATTCCAAGAAAACTTCGACCATAGCTTTAATCAAGCGGCAAAGAATAGTGAAAACGAATATCTCGCTTCTTTAAATCCTATTATGAATGCTTATAGTTTCACTTACTAAGAAGTAATTAAACTTTAAAAGTTTAACTAGAAGTTTGGAAGTTTAACAACGTATATGTATCTCGATATTTCTTTGAAAGCCAAGAAGAGTGGAAAGAGTTTTGAACTTCCAAAAAAGCAAACTGTCGTTCGCCCCGTCCTAATCTGTTTTTATTTCTTTCTTGTGCACTGTTGTATTCTGATAAAAATTCCGAAGTTCCTGCCCACTCTGTCCTAATCTGTTGTTATTCCTTTCTTACCCACTATTATATTCTGATAAAAATTTCGAAGTTCATAAATTCACGGACTTGGACTAAAACCGAAGCATTTCCCGAAATCAATTAAACTTACCACATTCTGTAGCATGAGTTTGCAGAACCGCACAAATGGTGAACGATTAAAATTACATTCTGAGGGTGGTTTGTAAATTTGTTGCGCAACATACATATATAAATAGGACATTATACGACAACAATGGATCACTGTTGTTTCTTCAGCGTTCATCAAAATACATTGTAAAGGTGGTACTAGCAATTCGGACCAACTCATGATATTCTCTTGAATCCATTTCCTACTGCTTTTAGCGTTTTTTGAAACAGTCTACAACAAGTACCATGTTTGAAATTTGGAATTGGGAATGAATTTGAAGCTCAAAATAAAAGAACAAGTGCAGAATAAAACAACCTCAAACAGCCAACGTATCGAGAGAATTGTTGAGGATGAATCCGCAGAAAAAGCTTCGAAGTATAAACCATTTTTCCGGAATGACACTCGAAGATTCTTGCAAATATTTTTGGATATGTCATCAAGTTCTAAAAAAGTCGAGATATGTCATCAAATCCAGAAAAAATTCACAGTTTGTGGAAAGTTTCGGTTCGAAAAAGTTTCTGGAGCTAATTCTTAATTCATGTTCCTTTGAGCTATCATTGGTTCGTATTGCTAAGCGTTTTCTCGATTGGCTTCAATTCTCCTCGGTGAATCTTTTAATGCCCCAATACAACCTAAACACTATCCTTATGATGGATATCTAGGTCGGGCTTTATGAAGAATTTAAAGGCAATTTGAATTACTGAATATAAAACTAAAGACGTGGTCAGGTCGAAAGATTTTGAAGTTTATTTTGAAGGATTGAATCTGAAGAAAAACAAACCGTTTGTGTTCGGTTTTTCGAACGTGACTACTAACCATAAGGGAACGATGAGCTCAACCGGATACATTGCATCGTTAGTTCTTTTCAGAAATTCGCGCAAAAAGTATAAACAAATTTCCAATTTGTAACTTTTCTCGGTCAACAGATTTTGCACTACTTGACGCATGTTTTGAAAAGCTGATTGATTGCGTTCAAATTTTACTGCCAGCTGAAACGAGTAAGAAATTCCCAACAAAAGAGAAGAATATTCGATTCCTACTCAAATTAGCAAAATTAAGAACTCTGGACATAAAAATAAATCATTACTGGCTCATTTAACTGCTTATTATAGAAAACAATATACTGCTCTTATAATCAATATTATGTAACTGCTTAATTACTTAATATACATCATTTGCTCACTTAATACTGCTAAATATTTACTCAATATTCTGGAGTAATTAAATTGTTTGGGTGTTCAGTTACTTACTGCCCACGATTCTTAATGCTTTCATAATTGCTTAGTGTTTTTCTTGCTTTAAAAAATAAGTAACAGGATACAAGCAGTAATATAACGCCAACAATTATGAATTTAATTTTTTTGGGAATTACAGGTATCTTTGGCTCAATAAAAATATTGCAATAACTAAACGGATGAAAGAATATCAAGAGTTCATTGTTCAACAATTTATGATTTCATATTCTAAAGATCGCTATAAACAATTTCAGTAATTTGTTATTAAATATTAAGCTAATAAAAAGAAACCAACCTGTTCAACAATATAATTTATTACTGCAGAGAAATTGGGGCTTTTGAGATGACCGATAGCTGCATTCCACAGAACACTGTTTTCAGTTCGACAGTGAGCAGTCATCGCAAGGAGCTGTTCCAAATCCATATCATTCATGGATGGTAAAAAGCGGACTAGGGAACCGATCTAGAATAGTCTTTGTTTTTTAGGAAAGATTTTTCAACAACAATTCAAATACTGCTTTTCGAAGGACTTGAAACTGAAGAAGCTGATACCTCCGATACTTTTTCACCGATACACATGCAGCATTCAGCATACAGCGAAACATCTTTTTTATCATCAAGCTTTCCCATCACTACAAGCATTTTTTTAAAGATTGAATAAACTCTGCATCTTAGTATGTTCAAAGATTACAGTAAGCAACTGACCAAAATCAAGGCACCAAACGGAGAAAAAAGCCCTACAGTATTTAAAATTGCCGCTTAGATTAGTTTAAGGTTCTGTTATGGACTGGACAGAAATGTTAAACTCCTAAAGGTGAAATGATAAGAAGGAAATTTGGACGAATTTTTTTTTTAAAGAAATTTAAGAATAAATTTGAAAAATGCAAATGAATTTTGTACAAGAGAGAATAAATATATAAAAATTACATGCTATTAATGTTGAGATAGCTTGCGAAGAATCCTGACGATTTTCATCCAAGATATACTTCGTACATTGAACTGCTCTAATCAGAACATCATGACGTTCTTTATCAGAAGGATCAAACGCAGCTGTTGCTAATGAAATCACCTTATTGGATGTCTCTTCCATATCTGAATGCTGAACAGGTCACATCCTACGTCACTATTTTTACAAACTCAATTTAGAACTAAAATTCCTGTGAAAGTATATAACTGAAATCCGTGAACTTAATTACGAATCATAAAATAACTCTGAAGGGATCCTTAATGCATAGTACAGTGTCACAAAGAGCATACCTGTACCGTGCAAGGTTGTGATAAAGAGGCTGAATACGCAAATAAGTGAATGAATAGGCATTTCACGAAATCGTTTCGCCGGGAATTTAGAAAAAATTCGTGACTTCATTGCTCGCCAAACTGACTCAGATTCTGCGACAGGAGTGAAAATAACTTCGCACAGCAGATAAAGTGCAATTAATGAGAACAAGAACAAACCTTACTTTTGATAAGCATTGACATAAGTCGTATAAAAAGCATCCAATCGTTATGCTGATCACTAGTGTTGCCACTACAACAAGATAATAGAAAGTCTTTCCAGACTTTTCCACTGGTTGGATAGAAGTCCAACTCCTGGAAAAACAGTTCTCATGATCTACAGAATTTTTATAGAATTAACAGATCTAAAGAATAAGTGGAGGAAAAGGTTCAACTGCTTTCTACGTATGTTACACTATTCACCTGGTCAGAAGGTTCCATAATATTCGAACATAAGTATGTGAAAAAATATTGCAAAATGGATTCTGTTCCTAGAAGGTCATCACCCTGATCTTTATCGAATAAAAAATACAGTTTCCTGGAAAAATATATTGGTAAAATTAAGAACTATCAAAGCTTTAAGTCGAATAAATTCTAGCTGGAACTTCAAAACTGTCAAGTTTTTTTCGGGTCCGTTTCAATTTCGAATGTAGTACCTGTTAGCAAAAATAAAATATTACCTTAAAACATACTGCTTTTCTGGCACTTTTGCAGTGATTTGTTGCAAACATTCTACATAATTGCTCAAAGCCTTGCCTGCAAAGTTTACTAACTGAAAACAAACAAGTAAAAAGTAAAATTTTGCTACTTAATCGATTCATCTAAATCTTTCACCTGATACGATGCAACCACCTTCAAAAGCAGTGCCAAATTCGCAAATTATTTCCAGAAATATTTCTGCCGAAACTGTATTACCAATGTCACATAAATCCAAGAACATTTCTAAATTTTTCACTTTCTAGACATGGAAATAAAACACATTGAATATTGATGTAGAAGGAAATTTAAAAACTTATAAGCGGCTACTAGCAAATGCGGAGAAATGAGGAAAAGTTGTTGCACAGAACTCAAAACATTACCTTAACTTCAATGACCACAAGAAATTCAGGAATTAAAAGGAACTCATCTTAAGATAATTTGGATAACCTACCACTTGAGGGACTTTCAGGCAGGTAGTAATGCAAACTGTCGGTGCATAAACCTAGCAGCTTGACCATATTTGACCAAAACATTTCTCTATTGGATGCATAAAGTTGGTGCCATGCGACAGTGATGCATCGGCATATAGAAGGTCGATTCTAGATAGAATCAAATGTCTTAAATATAGACTTTTGAACAACAAAATGAGCACAGTTGGTCCTTGCAAATTCAGAACATTTAAAAAATTAACCATAGAATACGGACACAGAGTAAGAAAAAGCAGAAATTTCCGTTACAAGCTCAAATCGATGTGAAGGATGGAGATCACTTTTAGTTCCTTATCACTCGATCAAAAAAACTCCTCATACTATAAAATCAAGTTTACTCACCGTGCGTGATGCACTTAGTAGTAATCCGTATGAAACAAGCATAGACAGCTGTTCTGTTGATGATAACGCGTCACCCATCGGGTAAAGTTTTTCGAAACCACCGAACCCTAAATAGTAATATAAAAACGAAAAAAATGGCAGTACCAAAATTAATAAGAAAATTTTATTTAACCTTATTTCAACTGAAATCTTTATGTACCAAAGAAAAACCAACCGATATTTATCTGTACAACTGAATGATACCATTTTTTAAAGATAACATGGACGTATAAAGCTATGAAAAATTCTTACCACAAACAAAAAGTGAATAATAGCAATTTTGTCAAGTTTAAAAAAAACTTAAAGGGAAGAAACCTGTTTCATCTGCTTGTTCAAATACTTTATACATCTAAAAAAGTCACAATCACTTCTACAAAATGACTTACTTTTGAAAAAATTTGAAATACGGACAGCTTTCATCCAGATAATCAACAGGGCATGGAAAATGTAATTCTGCAATATGAACATGACTTTGATTTGTCACGGTAAAAATCGATGAGAAGACATTTTACTTGAATTTCAGTAATGGTATCTGAATACAACTGAAGATTCTTACGATCTTTTTGTTGCATATTTCAGTTTTACATCGATTCACGAATAGCAAAAGGTAAACTGGATGTACAATTTCAAGTTGAGATAAGTTAGGTTTCAAGAAATGATAAGCGATTACGGTTTCAACATTTCGTGTAGTAAATAAACCATCGCTGGCAATGTAACGACTCAGTGAGCCAGCTTGAACAAGGAAAAATTTGAATTCTCGAGCGATTCCATTCAGCGTTTCCATATCACCATTCAATTCCATGTTCTAAATTTCGAGCTTTCAAATTCCAAATTAACCTTAGTTTAGTTTTCCTACGAACCTGGCACAGAAGATTATTGGAACATGACTCTAACTATACACCTGTGCAAAGGCGGTTAAATAACTGAGTGAACGATCCAGGTCAATGATGGCTGTTTCTGCGGAGTCATGAGCGATTTGTTGATATAAAAATCGAAGGCACCGAAACACTGCTTTGACGCCGATATCTGTGTACAGCTAAAAATCGTATGATTCAGCAAATTTGTGCAGTAAGATTAATCTGAATGTATTCAAACGGTAAATGAAACCCAAATCCTGGAAGGGAAAAAAACTGCAAATGTTTTGAAAAAATATATGGAAGAAGATAAAATTTAGATTCATTTTAGTCTCGTTTCATTCGCGCTTTACTTTTTAACCTTTGTGAAAATATCACTTTTTCGTAATAATAGTCAAAACTACTACAATTACATTTGTAACAGGCAAATACAAAAACAAACCATATTCATGTTGAAGCTAAAGGTAGAAAGTTTCAGTAAAGATGGTAATGAATATTGCACGGAAGGCAAAGTGTAGTCATCGATGATACGTCCTGGAGGACATCTATTTTGACACATCCAGTCAGTATGCAACCATTCCGGTAAATCCCCCACCGATTCGAATAAATCTTTCTGTGTTCCATCCATTGACAGGATCAAGTAATTGCAATAACACTGTAAGTTCTGTAAATCTCAGAAATATAGCGAAGAAGTAATATAAATAAAGTAGCATAAATATAAATACAAATGCAAATGTAAATATAAATACAAACAAATAAGCTAAATACATATATATCTATGTATATATGTATGTACGCACATGTATATACATATATATATATACATATATATACATATATGTATATATGTATATAGAAGTACATCTCCTACATTTAACAAGTAATACCAAAGCTTTAAGGCTGGAATTCGTTGAAGATCAGGAAATAATCGGAAGGATAGAACGAATCGCAAAGCTATAATGTTCTAAGAACTGTTTCGTTTTTTTCCAATTATACTATTTAACTATTCAATTCGAATTTAATCTATCATGTTCAAATTCTCATTTATATACTTTCGGTATTAGTCAGTTGATTGATTGACTAATACACTAAAAATGTTAGTGGTGATTTCAAGCCTAGTTCTAATTAAACTACCGCACAAAACCACCCCCATTGGGCGACCTATTTAAGGAATCCTTTAATCAAATTTGAATTTGCCGCAGAAATCGATGCGTCTTATGTTCTTCAGTGTTACTTGCAGCGGTATTGTTGTTATGATGAGATCAGAATTCATGTTTACTTTAGTGAATTTTGTAATGATATTCAATTTTTCTTCGATTTCTATGTTTACTTTTCTGTTGCAAAATGTTTTATTTGATTGTATGAGACCTTAGATAGAATCCTTTGCGAAAACTTTTGGATATTCTTGGAGATGATCAAAAGTCCTACAGAGAAGAAATAGTTTATGGGATATCCGATATTTTCATTGAAAGAGTCGCACTTATCGTGTACAATTATTTTAAAATTGAATTTTTCCAACCACTGGCACCATTACGTACCCTCTTATTTGTGAGTATCATTGAAATTTGAAAAGCTTAGTGTGATAGTTGAAGATGATTGTGCAACCCTTCTTTTGTCTGTGCTATTGTTTTTGACTGTCATCCACTGAGTAATTCGTTTCATAAAAGTTCTTCTCGACACTTTTTCACACATGCACGCATATGACATTCATATAAATGATCTCAAAGTCGACATTTTCATAGTTAATTCATGGATCCACAAGAACAGACCGTTACCTTCGTTGAAAAACTTCTCGAATGTTTTTCGCACGGTCAAATCATACTGATCGCGGGATATCATACTGAGAGCATGCCTGGTTTTTGCAGTTTAACATGAACTAACGATGGTTTTGTTAAATTGCTGAAAAATCTTTTGCTTACTCGTGCATGTAACCATACCGAATACAGAACAATTCCGTCATAAATGGTTTTTACCTGTAAAGTGTACATTATAAAAGACAGCTTGGAACCAGCGATTAAACGAAATCATTTCAGGAATCAAGTTGGCTACTGAAGACCAGTTATTAACAACAGTCCGTACTCGCCATCCGGCGCTGCGGAAAACCGCAGCCATCAGTGATGAAACAATAGACGACGAGAATACAGCCAGCGAATCGCATAGTTGGAGTAGTAACGGTGCCAACAGTATCAATTCATTCGCTTCGATAAAACGCAGTAATCAACCTGCGACTACAGCTGTATGCACCAAAAACGAACTGCTTTCCAGCGAAGATAACAGTAATATTATCGCTGCGCATCATCACCGGAACACTTTGCCAGCACATGCATATTCGGTCCCACCAATGCAATCATCCAAATTGCATGATATTTCTGCAATAAATACGGTTATTTTGGATTTTGCTCCTGAATATACTCAGAACGATTTCAAAATTTAAAATATATTTTTGACATATATGTCGAGACGAAAAAAGAACAGTTGGTCCAGCGTTTTGTTCGGCAGTAGTCTTGTTCTTCGATATCATTGTGATTTTGAATCTTTGAGAATCCGAACCTATATCCTACAGTTTCTAACCTCTTTCAGTTAGACATTTTCCATAATAACCCATCACATTGATTTCTTTTAGATTCGCAACTCTGATGGAAACTTCACGGAGGAAACGAATGGCCAGCTATCCGATGCTCAAACTATGATTAAGCACCAGGTCAGCTTTTGTCGAGAGCATCATTTAAACGAAATTTGAAGATTTCTTATGAATTCGATATTTATGCACACAGGAAAGATTAATAACCAGGCTGACGATTTCCAGGTTCCAAATGATCCATCCGGTCTGAACACAGCTTACTGTCGTGATACTGGTGTCACCTTGCCGTTGAACAATCATTTCATGCCACCAAAATCTGTTGTACAAGATGACGTGCGTATGAAGTTGGGAAAATTTGAACTAGTCAAAAAGAAAGGCAGATCAGAAATGTGGAATTTGTTTGGACAGGTTTGTTGTTAAAAACAATTCGAAGAGATTTCCCTTACAGAATTTTCTTTTTAACATTTCATCGGTGTGCAGAATTTTCTCCTTTTAACATTTCATCAGAATTTCCTTTCTTTGTTTAACATTTCATCGGTAAACATTTCATTGGTGTACTATGGCAATGGCAGAATAATGTTAATGCACGACAGAGTGTATGTCCCAAAACATTTGAGGTAACGAAGAAGACATTCTTATACGTTAGTCGATAAAGATCAAATGGTCTAAATATAAATCCGTACAGACTATATTGTTTTATTTAACGATTTTCAGGTTCCAAATGATCCATCCGGCCTAAACACAGCTTACTGTCGTGATACTGGTGTCACTTTGCCGCTGAACAGCCATCTCATGCCACCAAAATCTGTCATACAAGATGACATACGTATGAAGTTGGGAAGATTTGAACTAGTCAAAAAGAAAGGCAGATCGGAAGTGTGGAATTTGTTTGGACAGGTTGGTTGTTTAAAACGGTTGCAAAAAGATTTTCCCTACAGAATTTCTCTTGAAGTAAATGTTAATGTACGACAAAATATATATCGCAGAAGATTTGAGGTGACCAAGAAGACATTGTGATATGTTTCGGTAACGATCGGACCGTCTTCATGGCTGTCATTATAGACCTTTTTCCGAAGGTTGTTATTGAGCTGTGTTCTGCATACAGTTGTCTGATTATCCATAGTACTGGTAGGAAGTCGATTATCGGAACAATAGTCGAACTGTTTTGCAGTAGAAAATCTATAATCTGTTGAACTTCGTGGAAACTTATTGAAGGATTTTACTGATTTTTGTGAAACTGTTTTGTTTTCTGTTAAGGTGCTTGACACAATTACTGGAGCTCGTCTACCCTATGTGGCTTGTTATGCATGCAAAGTACTTTATACAGATACGGGTGGTGGTACAGGAAATATGACTCGTCATAGATGTCCGATCGGCAGTAGCTACAAGGATTGCAGTATGAGGTAACGTGAATTGTTACTCCGGGATAAAATTTGTCTTAATTATGTGGATCGTACAGGTGCGGGCTAAAGAAACTAAATGAATTTCAAGAAACCAAATAAATATGTATATTCAAAATGAAAGAAATGATAAAAAGAGAAAACGAAAAAAAAACAAAAGACCAAGAAGGGGACAGAGAGAGAGAGAGAGAGGAGGGAGGGAGGGAGGGAAGGGAAAAGACGAAAT